GGATGAATCTTGAAATGAAGGAAGATATCCAGTAGGTTATTTTCTGGGGGATGAATCTTGAAATGAAGGAATATATCCATTAGGTTATTTTCTGGAGGGGGTAATAAATGAATCTTGAAATGAAGGAAGATATCCAGTAGGTTATTTTCGGGGGGGGGGATAAATGAATCTTGAAATGAAGGAAGATATCCAGTAGGTTATTTTCTGGGGGATGAATCTTGAAATGAAGGAAGATATCCAGTAGGTTATTTTCTGGGGGAAGAATCTTGAAATGAAGGAATATATCCATTAGGTTATTTTCTGGGGGATGAATCTTGAAATGAAGGAATATATCCAGTAGGTTATTTTTTTTTGGGGGGGGGGTAATAAATGAATCTTGAAATGAAGGAAGATATCCAAGCAGGTTAGTTTTTAAAAAACTTCCTTCCTGAATTTTCCCCGATGATCCTACCACAGCAAGTTATCAAAGGAGAAACTTTACAAGAAGGGTCTACTTATGAAAGACATTCATCTAACATATTAACAATTGTCACCCTGTTGAAACGGAACCTGCAGAGGACTTTCAGAAACTGAACACTAGTAGGAGACTGTGGCGTTGCTATAATCTATGGTCGATAGAGTGGAATCTACGATAGAGATATATCATCGAATCTACGAGAGAGATATATATCAGCTTAAAAGGTTTAGGTTCTACACATTCTTGGTAAAGGAAGAAACTAAGCAGAGCAAGGATAGGTCGGGTCACGGGCCACCACTTCTAAAATAGATAGTTAGGCTTCACGGATTCTAAGTATCAAGTTGTCACGGATAAGCATAAGTAACTAATGTACACTATACTTTTAAACCACTAAGTGCATGCCTCAGAAGATTCTAAGAAGGCGTTAGTAGGTAGGCCTAACATGGGAGTAAATGCTAGACGGCAGGTTAAAGGCTGAGAGCTTATAGCTATGAATTTAACTAAAGCTGCTGAAGGTGTGGCGGTAAGTGCCAGTTGGATCACTAAAGATCACAAAGTATCTACAGCTACATTTTAATACTAGTAATCTAACTACACGTGCTAGGATAACGAGATGTTATTGATAAAATAAATGACGTTTTGTTTTTCATTAAGTTGATTGAAGTTTTGATTGCAGGAAGTAACTCCTGTTAAACCTAAAATTTGATATCATTTTCACAGTAGCTTTTCTTAAAAAATTATGTCCAAACGACTGTGAGAAATTTAATGTGAACATAATTAATATTTAAATATTGTAAAATGTGTCGTGTTTTGACTACAACAACGAAACGTGACGAATGATAAGAAATGTTTTATCAAGTTTTAGGCCTATTGGTTTCTAATGCGTCGACAACTTTCGATGTTGAAATCGTAGCTTTCACCAAGTTTTGATTCTGGAATTGTAATGTGTCACATTATTTGTAGTCATGGCGAAACTTCGTCATTGCCTATAACAATGACAAAATGTTGTTACTGTGGCACATTATGTTTAGTCGTGGCGACACTTCATTATAGGTTTCCTATAACAGTGACAAAATGTTCTCACATTATGCGTAGCGTTCACTATTGTGTCGTACATTTTTATGATTGTAACTAAAGATTGGTGTTGTGTCACTCATTTTCTGCTGTTAAAAAAAGATCCCTAA